GCGCGCATTACTTCATGGCAATAGAAATAAGAAATAAGAAGTAATAATACTGTTACTAAAACCACAATGGTTTGTCGTCATTTTTTTTTTGTTAATCTGCATGAAATACCTCAAGTATAAAAGGTTTTTAACTTTAATCAGTTAGGTAATGTAATACTAAACAAAACTTTATATACAAAGTATTTTTAACTTAATAGAATAATAGTCATTTAATCTCTTATTATCCTTATCAAAGCCATTGGACGAGTACCTAAAGAGATGTTTTTAAAATGTGCCTTCAAAACTGGCTGAAACGCCTCTGCATGTTATAGCATAATTTTAAGTAGTATTACCGTAAAGAGTTTTACTATGCAGTCATTAACAACGTCAAATAAAAATAAAAATAAACTTTTTCAAATCAAGAGTTCTCGTAGCACTGTGATACCATTCTTACGATCCAAGTATAAGGATAATTTTGAAACGAAAATTATTCTTTACAAAATAGTCGTCATCTATTTATCATTTTATTCTGTGTAATAAAAAAACTGTTAAGTATTTTGAAAACAGGTAGTTCTTTTGTTGAATGTTTTAGTAAACTCCGTTTTAGTTTCCGCTAAACATTAGCAACGTAAATAAAAATCCTGTATTAAGTACAAACTCTACCTGTTTAAATAAATTACGCATCTAGATAGGCAGATAAAAAGCTTTATTCGTCTATGCAAGCAGATAATTTTTTTATTAAATACTTACTAAGTACTTCCTTATTAAGTACTTCAGTTTGATTGCAAGGATTAAAATGGATTTTTACCCAATTAAGTTTATAAGAGAAACTTCGAAGTAATCATTTATGGTACGGACAACGTAATGCGGGATTCTCACATTATTCTGCAAATACATTAATAATAATATATTTATTCACAAAAATAACAGTTGGAGGTACATTACACAGGTAATTTTTAGTAGACTCCTAACCTAAGAAAACTTGTATCTTAGGAGTCAGTGATCCATCATGAACACTATAATTTTTGGCACCTTACATACCTTTACATTGAGTTATACATTAAAATTGTGTAAAATTTAAAACATGCCGTGTGTCTGTGAACGAGTGAGTGCGTGTGTGAGTGTATGTGAGTGAATGTGTGTTTAGGGGAGTTGTGATAGAATGTCTGTGTGTATGACAGTACAAAATATGCAATAAATATGACTGTAGATTAAAAGGGTTAAGTTGGGTGCACGAAAGGAATCTCCCCGTAATGACGTAGGTACGAATCGTATTCCAAATAATCTGGCGCATCCTGGGCAACAATCGACAAGAAATTTACGTCGACTGGCAAATCACTTTCACCACGATTCACCACGGTTCAGCATGCCGCCTGCTTGTAGCGTGATCAGCGTGGCTAAGTGCTGGGTCGCGATAATATAGCGTATTCATATTGTATACAATATGAATGAACTTAAAGGGACAGAAAAGATAAATAAATTATATGAAAAATGAAAAGCACAATAACAAAGGTATGGATAGAAATTAATGCAAGAAGAATACGCGCCCTAAATGGTTGTTATAAGGACAGTTGCATAGCACAATATCACTAAGACGGACACCATTCTTCGAAGCCCTAGCCGTAATTGAATCCTTACGCAGCCTTACTTATCGATGTGTTCAGCAACACTGAATCAAAATTTTTAACGCCCGCTGGTTGCTATTCGGAGACGATCACCGCTCAAAACTCTGCGGTCCAAACTCCGCATCTTACCTTTGACCGGTGACCGACTCAACCTTTATGTGACTATGACTTACATGTTTAGTTATAATTACTGTAAGTGTAAGTTGTACAAAATAAATAGTGATGATGAAAGATACTTCGTCTGTGGATACCAGTACGAATCTTATAACATAGCTATAGGTACACTGGGGAAACCCGATGGTTGAGCTACGGAATCTTAAATAAGAAATAACATTTAAGAAAAATACAATATTAAATATTTACGACTTTATTTGTATTAGCTTCATACTTTCAATACATATATTCACCACAAGAGCTCGTCTTGGAATGCGTCTAAGGTTACTTGCAAACTCAAAATGACACAACCTACCATTACACAATTCACAGAAATAAAGTTTTATAGAGGTATATGTATATACAGAGCGGTTTTAGTAAGACATTAAAACCGCTAATAAAACAAACTTTTACTTTGACTAAGCAAAAATTTGGAACATAAGCAAATTTTTCGTATTTACAAAACGAAGATTATAATCGTCTAAGTTTAAGCAAGAAATTACGAAGTTTCTTAAATCAAAGTTGCTTCATTGACTGACACTGAGCTTCGCTCTTTCTCGACCCTTCAAACAGTGTCAGGCAAAGTGCTATATTAACAAAAATAAAAAATTATACAGTAAAGTTAAAACCTATCGTTTTAATATTTTTATAATATAAATAGTGGCTTTTACAACTTGCCTAACTCGCCATTTTTACTTAAGTGAAATCAAATATCGTTTATAAATCCCAGCCTTAATGTCGAACCAATCAAGTGTAGCCGGGATTTTTGTTTCTGGATTATTAATATCATTTTGTAATTGGTTCTAGGATAAAAAATAGAACACTAAATTTTCCCGCAAAATTTTTGCTTTTGTGATCAGAACAACAAGTTAAGTCGAAATTTGCATGCCGTTAAGAAAATATACAAATTTTCAGATTTCTCTTTATTTAAAGACAAAAATGGAACATTATATTTCAAATCAACAGTATAATTATCTCAACCAAAATTCTGGAAATTGATGACAAAGTGTAGACTATGTAAATACCACGGCTACATATTGGCTGCTCAATTAAACAGATACCAATACTGTCAAAACCTTTTTGAAAAATACTTACCTGCATTAGTCAGATTCGAGATCTTAATTTTTTTGGTACTCGTAACTTACAATAGAATATGTTACTGGACAGATTTCATATCAGTTTCTTCTCATCAAGCGCATTTGTTTAACCGCAAGTTTATTCTACAGATTAAAATTATTTAATGACGTTGGTATTAAATCTTTTTAACGTAATCTTAACAGTACCTAGAACTATCAGTACTAGAATTAAGAAGTAAGAGTATGTCCAGGGAAGTACACCTTACTTACTTACTTTAGTACGCCAAGCAGTAATGTGAGCATTACTGCGGTCCGGTTTCGAAGGGAAAGGGTACTAGTGAAATTACAGGCACATGAAACTTGTCAACCTTTGTCTCAGGGTGAAGTTAGAAGACTTTTGCTTCTCATTCAGATGTCCACGGTTCGAATCCCAGTTGGACGATTACGTACATTTGTGAAAGTTTAGTAGCAATACTTGTTGCTAACGAAGAAGGAATACAATCTTGATATACTTTGCACGTCGAAAGAATCCAGGAACCGCATTGGGCCAGCGTAATGGACCCGTGTCCAGCAATGGCATGTATACTTAGTTGACGATGACGATGAAGACCGAAGTTAGTAAACTTAAAATGACAAATTGGTATTTTCAGTTTCTAACTGTACTTTAATTAATATTCACATACACACCTACATACATACATAGGTACATACTTACAGAACAATTGTTTTTATAAACTAATACAATATACCCAAAATATATTCATATAAAGTATTTGATTATTAAATCGTGATTCACCATACCATATCTATTAGCAAGCAGTTAATTAGAATAACGAATTATAATTAAAAGGACGTTGTTGTCTAATGCCTACTTAATCATGTGAAATTAACATGGTATTAACTAATTAGGTCAGATGAGTATTTTAGGCAATGTCTGTTCGATAATTCCTCATTCGCAAGCCGTCTTTCAAGCACCTTAAACAAATCCTATATTTCAAGGTAAGTCTAAATTTGTTATAAAACGTTGAGTAACTGATGAACGCGAAAAATTATTTACCATTTTTTCATTGAAAATTAATTCCAAGTTTAATTACACAGATGGCTAAAACGTTTGTCTACGTGACCCTACTCTGCATCGCTGGGTTGGTATCTGTTGCATTAGCAGAACCATCCTATTATCCTTCATACGTCTACCCAGTGGAACACAGGAGCAATCTCAGGAGTACGCAAGAAGAATTTGAAGATCCAGCTAACTATGAGTATGTATATTTATGGACATAGAATTTTACGAAGTGGCAACAGTCTATTTGTTTGTTGATGTTAACATATTAGTTATCCCAGATTTAGTTAAAAGATATTACAAAATCTCCTTTTCCTCGTTCATTTTAATAAAATGTTTTATAATATTTCAGGTTCCAAATTGTGCCTACTGATCAATACAATGTTGGTCAGTATGATGTTTCTCAAGACGACAGTCCCACAAAATCCATATCAGTTTGGGACCTAGTACCAACCCCTATCGTAAGTGTCGCTATTTATCTACATTTTATGATACAGCACATGTGTTACAAAATGTAATACACAGAGCCTTTACGGACCCAGTCGGGCACAACTGATGACAAATGAGTCGAAGGCACTTTTAAATAATTAAGAAATTAGTATTGAAGTGATATATTATTTTACATCATATAAAAACACTAACCTATATTATGGTCATTGTTCTGTTGAATAATTTAGCATCTAATATGGTGTACAATTTTTACAGACTGCAGTTATAACCATCGGTAAAGTTATTGCTGTCGCTATCACCGGTATAATCTCCAAAGCCTTATTAGTAGTGAAGATGATAATCAAAAAAGGCCTCTGGATCGCCTTAGGAGCGGGTCTGGTTATTGGATTCTGTGCCTTCACGCCTTTTTGCACCCTCACCATCGAGAGACCATTTACCCGTGAACTTAGATTAATTGGGCAGAATATCCCTTATTTAGACGAAGTAGAAAGTTTATTTTATCAGGCGTATGATAAGATACATGAACTGTACGGAAAAAACTAATTTGTGTATAGTTGTTTAGTAGTGTAATTTAACAAATAAGTAATTTATTGTATCAAGTATTTATTGAATAAAAAGGAATTCCAAAGCAATTTGGTTGTTTAAATAGATTTGAATTTTGAACTTTTTAGGACACAAATTATAAATTAATATTTTCTATAGAAAGCAGCACGCCGTTTTCTCTGACCATTGCGGTCGGTGACTTTCTGGATTTTCTGGTACTTATTTATTGCAGTCTTAACGAAATCTGCGGCATGGCTGATTTTCTCCAAACGTTCAGGACTCATAAGGGATCTCATCTCTTCATGGATGGGCCCGACACCATGGAAAGTGATAGAGCAGAGATTGGTGTAAGAACAGACTCCAACAGTGAGCAATGAACCGATAAGCAAAGTGAAGATACTGTTGAACATCCATACGAAGGTCCTGCCGACGTAGCTGACCATTGTCTGAAAATGCAGAATCATAAAATTAAAGTTAACGTGCAGCACCCGGACAAACAAATGTAGGTTTAAGGGTGTGATGTATATATATTTTTGTAATATTCTTAGTGTTTAAAATAAATAAAAAATAAATAAATAATAAAACTTTAACTTTTTTTCAATTGGAATTAGCTGAATTCAAAATTTAATTTAAGCATTTTGTAGAATATGAATTTGGGAATATTGAATGTATAAAAGAAGTAGTTACTTACTCTAGAATCAGGAACTTGGCTCCAGAGTAAACTGAAGGCAGATGTGTCAGGCTCCATCAAATAACTATTCGGACCATTTGCATACACGTCATAGCTGAAACAAAAAGGATGATATTAATGGCATTTTCAGCATTATTTACGTATATACTAACAACAGCTTAAAACATACTACTGAAATAAAAATAAAATCCACAAAAACACTAAACAAAAACAAAGAAGCAAACATGATGGCCAGCCCTTCATTTTTGAACAAAATTTGACAGCAGATGTTTGTCGTCCTTGTCCGAATACGAAAATATTTACTTGTTAGAAGTTCCATATCCGGAATCATAGCCATAGCCAGGTGCATAAGGGACATCGGGGTATGCGACTTCAGCTGGCGCAGCCACGAATCCATAATTGGGAATTGTTAGAGTATCCTGGAAACACAGTCCTTAGATTAAGCACACAACGTAACATACAAAGTCCATGTATATACTTTTACAATCCTGGAATATGGGAACTAGCTAAAGGATATCATCTTCCTGACATTTATATTGGATAATACTTAGAAAGTGCATATTCGAACGATATTTTAAATGTAACTTACAACTCTGTTAATTTCAGTAGTTCCCGCGGGCGCTGGTTGATCGGCCAACATATCATGTTTTACAATAGGGCTTAACGGCTTTACTGGCTCTATGTGGACTCTGCTCTCAGCTCTGTATACAGGACGTCGTTCATCCTTGCTGTCCTTTTTGAAAATAGGTATAGGTAGGATAGGTTCCGTTTTGAGATCGGGTTGGAAAGCTGCATTCTTGTCCAATAAAGCATAGGAAGACGTAATTTCAGCTGCTAGTGCTGTAGCTGTTAGTACCAATACAAATGCTGGTATTTTGTACATCTGAAAAGCAAACAAGTTACTATAACTTCAACACGTTTTTTCGGGACTCATAAAGATCATGGTCCATGATAATACATATCCATTTACTTAACTTAGTTAGTCTACGTAGTAATTAGGTAGTTTACGTAAGTTATATAACAAAGTCAAACAAATTTGGATGATTGCAACTTACCTTCTTCGTCAAGTGCTACTGACTGCCTCTCAAACTAATCTGTTGCACTTTACAAATTCTTAACTTATTTATACTAAAACTGTTCCATGACAACTCATCATTTATATCAGGAATTGCGACTTATCTTCGGGACATTGTTTCCCGGGACAATAGTGACCCGTCTCTATCTTTACGCACAGCAGATAGTGACTACTAAAGACTTTGGAATCCGAAACGTAGATTGCTTATTGATAAGTGATAGGTACTGGGCATATTAGTTTTAGTCAGGTCATTCAATCCTTAAATTCAAAGGTTGTAAACGTCACAAAAAGCACTGGAATACTTATTTTCAGTAACCCTTTATTCATAGAACGTTTTGCAAATTTCTCTTCGATGAGTTGCATATAGTAGCTATGTAAACTTTAATTAAAAATACATGTCTCCTGTCATATTTTATTGAAACTTATGATACTATAATTAAAATTTCAAGTAAAAACTTGACTTTGCCCTTGTCCAAAAACGAAGTCGTAACGAAGGAGACACAACTTAAGCAGAAATCTTATGGAAATATTAATTAGGTTAGTTCTTGAATAGCCTATTCTTTGTCCGTCAAACTAAAAAATACACAGTGTATTATAACAGGCAATAACGCTCAAAGTCTAAATAACTGATGAAGCAAAAAGTTCTGACGTGGGTTGAAACTTTTTGTTTTGAATAAAATGAATATGGTAGCTTTGCGATCTATTCTTTAGGCAAGATTATAGATTGCCCTAGAAAAGTCTGTTTCGTGAATAAATAAAATTCCGTATTAAAGACCTTACTAAAGTAACAATCAATGGATATGTTCTGTCACGCGATGGCAATTTTCGCCTTATTACTTTTTCATGTCACCTAGACATGATGACCGCTGCCCTGTTTTTCGTATCGATTTCAAATCCATTGGTTTGCCGAACGTACCGGTGAACTTTTCTAACGTACTGGTTAAGGCACATTAGGTCAGTACTAACTTAGATACCCGATATGCTGTGATAACAAGCCTGACACGCTTGTTTCCTACGAATTAATATTTTTATGTTCGGAAAAATAAATAATACTAATTGTTGTCACAAAAATATTACATACACTGTAATTAATTTTCAGTCCTTAATAAAAGATGTTATCTATAAAATAGCCGTTCGGTTAAATTGGCTATTAAAAAATGTACATTTCATAGATAAGGACAAAACAAAGTAAAATCACATAGGTAAGTAACATTTTTCACAAAACGCATCTAAATTACATAGCTGTACTGGTAAAACTGTAATTTTATAGCTTTTCATTATTGAGTTTTACCTCCAGAAAGATCCTGATTTTCTTACTATACCCATACAATTTTATGGCTTTTTGTGGAAAATGTCACTTATGTGGTTTAACCTTTAAGCGGACGATATGAGGCATGTTTTCAGAAACTTTTTCGTTAAGTACCTAATACACAAAGCATGTACTTAGATACGTCTTTATACACGTATCGTCTTAACAAACATTATTTATTTTGAAAATAGAACTTCAAATATTTTCAATGAAAATAAAGATCTTACCGCTTAACATATTCCCAGAAAAGTTTAATCTCCTCCTCCAAAGACATGATCTCACTTATCAAATTTAGGCACAACAATCTTTTTCTACATAAACAATTACAAAACTTATCGTTAGTTTTAAAAGATGCAAAATTACTTTGAAGTATAAAAATTTTCAGCGTTACATATACAATTTTGACACTGATTATTTATCGTAACACAGGATTTATAAGGCAACCTAACTCGGAATCTAGAGCCTCACAATTAAATGTTACTTTTCTAATCCCATAAAGAATTGATTATTATTATATTATTTATTATTTTTTATACAAATTACAAACAATTGCGAGAACTGCAACTTTGGTGTTTTCATAACTATTATTGTCTTTTTCATTGGCTTGTTACTAAACTCAGAATTTTCAGGGCATTTCACCGTGTAATACGGTCAAACACATGGGCCCGCGTGTGTTGACTACCTGGCCATCGCCACTTCACCCAGCAAACATTTCAATTTCTGTAGTTCAGGGTTGAACCAATCGATTACGATTCATTGTAAATGTAGACTACTATAGTAATAAATAAAATGAGGTGTTTATTCATGGTTAATTGCTTACAGCTTATCGTAGACTGACAGATAGACGTGTAGACTATTGGTATATTGCGATCTTTATGAAAGAAATTCTAGAGTAACAGAGTAGTAAATCAACAAGAATTAAATCCACTGATACCTACTAGTTTCACTAATTGATTTTGACATATCGCTGAGTACGTAGGTAGATTAGAGGGTGGATAGTCTAAGGTAGGTAGATATTGTTTTGTATAGGTAATTTTTTTTTAATATCAAGTGATGGGATGAACAAGTCGTGGGCCTGGTGATACGCGACACGTCTGTCCATAACAGTTGCAGTGCCACTCAGAGCTTTAAAACGAAAAGAACGGAGGGACACTGCAACTCTGCACCCGTCACCCTGACACGTCAACTTGTGTTAAGTTGACAAGTCCCATGTGCCTCTAATTTTACCAGCACCCCTACCCTTAAAATCCGGAACGCAATAATGCTGACATTGGCTTGGCGGCAGAAATAAGTTGGGTGGACGAACTCTTTCACAAGAAGCTCTACTGCTACTGATTAATTAAATACGTTGTAAGAAAAAGATAATTAGCTACACAGGTACATAGCCACAACAGTACTTTTATGATTAGTTGCGTTTACATTGAACGAGATTACATAGAAAAGTTTGCATATCTATTCACTGTTTGGTAGTTGCCAAACATTCATGAATCGAAATTTGAAAAAAGAAAATGTTCTTCTGCAGAAACAAAAATATGAGCATGTCATGTTTTTCATAAATTACGAAAACAAAACATCTCTGGCAATACCTTAACAATGTCGTTACGAAAAATACCTAGCGATTTTCAAACGTTACTGCATGCATCTAACAAAATAACTAGCTATAGAAGAGCAGTTGAGGAATTGGTAATTAAACGTTTTTAATTCCTTCTTTTAAGTTTTAAAAACATTTCATTTTAACTTCTTACGATGTTTCAATACAGGTTTACAATTCCTTGGACGCGGCTTCGACATCAATAGCGATTCGACTTAGTATTGAAGAAAACGTAATACAAGTTATTGACAATGGATGTGGAGTGAGAAAAATTGATTTCAATTTACTTGGACAGAAACATACAACAAGCAAATTTGTTGATTTGACGGCATTGAAATCAGCTCCAAACAAATATGGCTTCCGCGGTCAGTCTTTGGCAAACATCATTGAAGTTTCACAAAGCGTCAAAATAACTTCGAGACATGAAGATTTAGATGACACGTGGTATAAATTTTTTTATAAAGGAAAAGAACAAAACATTATGGACAGTAAACAGAGACCTTCAAAGGGAACGACTGTAAGTTTTTATTGTTTTTAACAATTGGTTTCTATATATTGTCGTCAGCGGCACAACGGTTTTCATCACACTTGCTCGTAAGTATCTCGTAGTGTGCAGCAAAACAAGGCGGTATTTTTATCATATGGCCTACATTTTATAGCGGTAATGAGTTTTTTGCTTTATTTCTACTCTCCTGCTCGCCGCGAGTCTAGAAGTGCGGGAGCCCCTTCATTTCATTTATAATTTTTAACCGTCTTCAAAAAAAGCAGGAGGTTCTCAAATCAACAGTGTGTTTTTTTTTGTACTTTGTTGATAACTCGTGAACCGATTTTAATCTTTATTTTTTGTTGGAAAGAGGGTACTTCTAAGGGTGGCAAACTAGGGGATGAATTCGGTTTCGCGCACTTTCCGGTATCCGATTGCAATAAAACTTGGCAAATAGTTGTAATTCCACGAACTTTTGAGGTCGGTTTTTGGGACACCTACATACTCATAAATACCGTGACATGCTTAGATTAAAAAGATAGTATGTTATGTCATACATAAAGTGAAAGCAAAAAGTGTTATGCTCAAAAAAATTCGAATCAAAGGAAATTAAACTAATCCGGCTGGATCGAAGGAATTTTTTGTAAGTGTTCGATCTTTGTAGTAATAATTATAACAAACTAGTGAAGTAATTTCACAAAAAAATATTTGAATATCAATTGAATAAAAATTTTATCAAAAAAATTTTTGTTCGTTATGCAGTGTGTTTTTGTACCTACTGGAACAGTATGGGGAAATCCGAAACCATAATACTTTCATATAATTAAGACTTTTTGTTGTGACAACAAATTTTACATAGTCAATTTGATTTAACATGTGTTGTCCATAAAAATTAATAATATTGACAATTTTTATTTAATGCCTATCGACTCAATTTCTTGTAAGGATCATTTCATTGTATCGGAAGAAAAATTTGAACAGCAGAAGTTGATCAAATTTAATAAAATGTTTTTCAAAAAATCACACTGTATGAGATTTATTTGTGAGATACTTTGACATATTTTATAAATATATTATAAAGTCCATTGACTTACAATGATAAAGTCTTATTATTGTTATATCTCATTAAGCATTAATTTCCTATTCTGAACTTGAGTTACTGCTACAACTCTGATGGTAGTAATCTCTCCCTTGAAATAAAAAATCATCAAATCCCTCCTTTCAAATTATTAGGGATGACACAGTTGTATAAATAATTAATTACTGGTAATTCTTGTTGCTTTCAAATCACTTACTAATGATTTAAACATTCTATTGAACAAAATTCATCACAGATATGTATTCAAGATTAGTATTATCAACAGCCGTATTGAATTTTGGAGAAATCTTCATATTCATATTATTGTGGTAACCGTAAATAAGGTGAAAACTCTAAAAATCACGTTTTTGTTTGTTGACATTGAGTTATTCTACATCAAATTTGGCTAGAGTTTAATTTTTCGGATTTAAACTCGCGTGTGTTTATTTTTTCAAACAAGCCAATGTTTCGGGCTCTTTATAGGTCGCATGATCAGAATAGTTTCATTTATACTATAGACTGATTAATTTTACAGGTGGAAATAAAAGGATTTCTTTACAATTTGAGTATTCAAAAGAAATCGATCAATGCATTAAGTGAAATTAATGACATAAAACATTTTCTTGAGCAATTGTCATTGCTGCATACCAACACATCTTTAAGCTTAAGAGATGATACAAAAAATGAAATAATATTCAAGATACATAAGAACCGAGATATTTATCAAACTCTGAGTTCAATATATGGAATAAAAAAAACAGATTTACAAGAACTTAAAGTGGAAAAGAACCAATACAAAGTAACAGCATTTATTGGAAAGAGGGATACAGAGCAGAATAAAAAACAATTGATATTTCTTAATGGGAAAATTGTCCAAAACGGGAAAATTCAAAGTATAATAAATCACAATTTATCTAAAGCACTCAAGTTGAACTATGAGAAGAAAAGGAATTTAAAATCGAAGGTGGGGTTTCATTTCTATTTCTATTAGTTATACCTACAGATTGGAAATATGACACGGTTCAGCAAGTGCAGCCTCCTTATAGCTACAGGAAAAGCGGTCCTAGATGTTTATGAATTTTGAAGGTATTTTCATTGCCATTCACAAATTTAAAAAAATGGTAGTGTTTAATAGCTTTAAAAAGCATAGACAGTCTGCTAGAACCATTTTCCTGTAATTATTATATATTCAAATTTCATCATATTTCATACTGACTTTCAATAGTGATTGCAGATTTGTTTTAATAGTGAAGACACCGAATTGCCTAAAGGCAAAATACCATTCTACTTGGTGTCCATATCTTGTCCTTATTACGATTATGATATTAGCTACACACCAAAACAATCGGTTTTTGAATTTAAAAACTGGGACCAAATAAGCAAACTATTGGAAAAATTAGTAAATTTCTACGGCGGAGATGTCAATTTAAGAGAAATTAAACAAACTGTTATGAAAGAAGCAGTAGATCAAGATAAAGGGAATGAAGTAAAAAATGAAGTTAAAAAAATTATGGATAAAATACTAGGTAGTAATTCAAAGAGGCCAGCTGTTTCACAAATGCAAAATGGTATCAAAGGTAAGGATCTACTTATTATTTTTATACAAGAATAAGGCATATGGTAAATGTGACTGATTTACTTACAGGAAAATTAGCTAAAAGGAAAATTAAAAAGAAAATTCCTAAAATTTCTTTGTCCAAAATAATTCCCCAAAAAACTCGTTCATCAATAACGCATGAAGACATAAACTGTGATAACGTAAACGACATTAGTGAAAATGGTCTTCATGTTGTAAACGTCCCTAAAAACTCTCTAGTCAAGGAAAAAGTAAAAAAAATAGAACCGACGAATAAATCCAAAATGAGGGTAATAAATAAAAGTGTAGAGAACGAAAAAAAGCTCCGACATAATACTACGAAAAACAAGAAGGAAAAACATTTATGTCAATTAAATGAATATATGAACAACTATAAAAAACACAGAAAGACTAGGCTACTTCAAAAATCCTCCAAGAAAGTAGAAACTAAAGAAAAAACTATTAAAAACAAAGTTATATCGAGCAAGAAATCAAAACATACACAGATAAAAAAAAATACTAACAGAAAAGTTAAAAATAATATACTTCAAGATCCTCTGTTAAGTCGTTTTGAAAAAGTAACCGATTCCATTAATCAAAGATGCAATATGCTAAGTAAAAAAGTTGAAGATTTATTAAGTTACAAGAAGAAACGAAAACAAAAAATAGTGGTCAACGAAACAGTTCAATACAGTAATATAATTCAAGACAACAAAAACGTGTCTATTCGTAAGAAAATTGCAGAAATAGTTCTACACGATTACATGCCTTTATCGCCGAGATTTAGCCCTTGCAGCTTTGATAATCGCGTGTGGGATGGCTGGAAGAAAATGCCTTGTAAATCCTCGTACGATTTAGTCAAGACAATATTGACTACTCAACAAACAATCGATCGTGTCACCAGTAACGTTACTCGGGAAAGAATGTCAAGTTTAATTGAAATTAATGAACTTCCTCCTTTAAGGCCCTCGTGTTCTAGTGACGTTCATCGTGGCTCAGAAATACCACTATTTCCAAGATTAACTTACGATAGCCATAATAGTAGACTTATCCAGTGTAATGTTCATGAAACAATAGACAACAATATCAATAAGCACTTTATCTCAACACAATCTGAAGATGATTTCGTAATACCAAATCATACACAAAATACCAGAGAAAGATATAAAACCAATGTCCAGAAAATAATTGATTTTAAACATAACAAACAAAACGATATAAAGAAATCTATCTTTGATATTCAACACATGTGGAATTTTCAACAAGAGTCAGTAGCAATTGATTGCTCAACAAGAAGTAATGATCATTTAGTCCGAAGTTGCGTTCAAAGTTTTGCGAAAACTAACGAGGAGTCTGTTTTAAACGAAAGAAAACATAGTGATTATCACCTGACTTACACATTGCCAGATCAGAATCACCAGCCCTTACGACATAAATACAACATTTTTGATGAAACATACACTTTAGATGCTTTGCACATTACACCAGATGGCTACAATCATCAGAAACATGCAGGTCTCCCAGAAAATCTGGACGCCCACAGATGTGACCAAAATTATACGAAACATAGCAATAGTGACAATCTACAATATAGTAGGAAATCAATAAACACCACGGACAATGTAAATGTTGTATTCGTGTCTGAATCTCAAGAATATTTAATACAAAAAACTTCAGAAATAAATATAGAGCCTTTAGAGATTTGTGAGATCGTACACAGCCAAGATGTTGAAATTATAGATCACAGTATTCGTCAAAATAATGATTCTTTGTTTAATGATGAATTTTATATAAATTCATCCTTCCTTGATAAAGACGCGTATGTAAGTGCACCAAGAAATTCCAGTGAAGGTATCATTAAGGGGATCAATGATGCATCATATCATTTGTACAATCGACAAACCATAGATAAAGTATTTATATCGTGTGGTACAAAAAATAATATTAATATTGAAAATACTACAAAACCTCTACCCATGTACGACTTTAATAAAAAGGGTGGAGACAATTTTACCATTCGAAACAGACTTCGATTCATTCCAAAAGGTAATACATATGATTCTGAACACACAAAAAGGATATGAGCTAATACATTTAAAATTGATTTTTAACAGGTATGTCTCCGATATTTGAAAACTGCCAGACAAAAACCGTATGTGACTATAATTTAAACAAAGATTATTTTGAAAAGGTAAAAAACATTATTATATTAACGAAATCAACAACAATTAATTACAGCTACTGCACACATATAGTTAAAAATGTCCTTAATTCCAGACTCTTTATGACGACTTTGCCAACAATGTACAAGTGACTTCTGAGATGTTACAACCAGGTATTCAAAATATAAAAGATTTAACAACTAAAGAAATTCAAAAGGCTGACAATAAACTGAAGAAAGACAATGCTTCTCTGATTTTCAACGCTGATTCTCTAAAACAGGCCAAGGTAATCAAGTGGAGCCCAATTGAATTGCGTAAAGGTAATTATTCTTATACAGTAATTGTAATGTAACCTATTTTTACAGGTTTTAGGTCAAGTGGATGAAAAATTCATAGCAGCTCAAATAAAGGGCAAATGTTATCAGTCTCTTGAAATTTCGGAATACCTTGTATTATTCGATCAACACGCAGTCCACGAAAGAATAAGATTAGAAAACAATTTAGCAGGTTTGCGACTATACTTATTTGTGAATCAAATTAATATTATTAACTCTTTGAAAACCAATATCCTTGAATACAGATTACTTAATCGACGACAAATGGAAGAGCATAACATTAGATGGATTTATATTGAAGCTACCTAAGGAGGATATTCTTTATCTGCACAATTATAAAGACAAGTTTTCACAGTTTGGCTTGAACTGGACTGTTTTAAATGATAGGGAAGTGACAGTTAGTGCTATTCCTGAAGCCATTTTGGGTAAAAATCCTAGACAGGTACGAGATATCAAATTGTTCAAAACGGTCGTTTGTCGACCTGTGTAAATTAAATTTAAATAATAACTTATATGATTACAGGTAGCGGTAGTTACGAAAGCTGTGAAGAATATAATTTCTGAAGAAATAAATGCCATGAAGCTACAAAAAGGCTGCGTCTCTTTGTATCCAAAAACTATTATGGATCTTGTTTTCAGCGAGGTAAAGATTGTAACCATAAATCATCCCATGAAACTATTTTGGTAGTTTATTTACTTATGTAAATATATGTTTATTTTTCTATCCAGGCTTGCAGATACGCTATAAAATTCGGCGACAAATTATCGAAGAATGAATGTGTGGAGCTTCTCAATCAGTTATCGGAATGCAAGACACCATTTCAATGCGCCCATGGGAGACCAGTAATGGCTGTTCTCCTGGAGCTGAAGAGAGATTGTCGATCATATACAGTGAGTTATTTAAGTTCCTGGAAACGGAATTTATTAAAAACTCGTAAGTTTGTACACTGAATTAATACCGCTCTAAAACTTCCAGATACATGTGTCCAAACTATCAAAATTTGCACGTCCTTGAAACTGTCTTCAGTAGCAGCAGATATTAATTGCAAAGATTAATTGCTTCAGTCTGCTGTAATCGTCGGAAGAAATTATTTACTCCCACTTTCATTGTATCGACTGTACTAAATAGACTTTACGTTAGGTACTTTGTTCTGTTTATTGAAATTAAATCAATTGCAAACACTTGATAATTCAATAAATTTTGCAACTAAATATTTCAAAATTAAAGATGTAATGAAACTTATTGACGCCTATAGCAATCGTTGCTTTTTCCCATTTCTTCAAATATCCAAAATAAATAGGGGTTGATTCTTGTATGAACATCAGGAAATCCAACAGCGCAAGGAATACCCCATGAGACCACACCAGCCAACTGACCGTCTTTCAGTATAGGACTACCGGAATCTCCCTGAAATAAAATAAAAATATTGATTGTATTTCCCGCAAAATGTCAATTATCGCCGCCGTTTTAATGTTATTATTTAAAAAATGTCACTACAAAATGGCAACAGCAAATAAGACACTGTTGTTGTCGAGTAAATCCCACTAGAGCAGCATAAAATTGCTCATTTTCATCTATCTATACTCTGGCATAATTTTTTTTTTTTTGAAGGAAAGTACCCAACATATAACAAATTGCAAAAAGTAAGTCACATCCTGGCAAAATAGTCCACACGGGCCTATTACTTTTATAACCGTGGCCGCATCGACTTCGAGAACTTCGCTTGTATATTTTGTTTAGTTACCTACTGTTAATTGTCAAAATGAATTGAAATGAAATGGTTAATATAAATAAATAGGTATTCATTTTATCACGCCTATCCGTCGATGTCGTAGGCAGAGACAACAATATAAAGGTAGTATGCCATGATCCTAAACTTTTGCTTTGATTGATAGTCCTTTCATACACGCTCATTTATTCCGGATATTATTTATCGACTGCCTTTTTTAAATACAGCCTCATTCGACAATGTGAAGCATTTAGAGCGAACTCTAAATATAATGTAACAGTCTAATGTCGAAACATTTTATCTAAATTTTATGCACATTCGCGTGCTATCAATCTTCGATTATGGATCTTCTCCGCATTTTCTGTTATCATTATATCACGTTTCGTAACACATCGCTGTCTTATCTATATATTGCTATTCTTTCTCTGAGTCATCCCCATGTGCAACCGATATCAGCAGACTGGGACTGACAAAACAAAAGATCATTAAGGGCCAGTGCAGATGCAGAGAGCAATGTGCCGCGATGCACCGAAGGCGGTCTCAGAGCATTGCAATTTATACCTTATTTCGATTGTAATAGTATAAAATATACACTGACAAATTTAATTCTGTTATTGTCAGCCGGTTGTCGCTGCCTCTTGTCGATCGACTTGCTTTATGTTTTTTGCAAATTTACTTTATACCAACTCGTACTTACGTGACAAGTTCCTTGCCCCAGTTGAATAAACGTACAGAACATTTCGTCGAACACTTCTCTATTGTATCGCATTGCAAATCTACATGTTTCCTGGCTAAATACTGTTAAGTTTAAAGCATACATTTGGTCACTGGAAACGCCGTGAGGCTGAAAAATAAATTGATTAAAATTAACGAATGTTCATGTGTAAATAAATTATTATGTACAGTATATTAGTTTAATAATAATAGTTATTAGTCTATATATTTTAATTTTCCTTCACTAAAAAGTTCATGGTAAATTCCAAATTAAATTTCGCACATAAATTTCGAAATACTCAGAAATGCAAGCCTGGACTCGAACCCACGACTCGTTGCTTGCGAGCACCTGTTCAGCTAGTCCCTAGCAGCTGTCCTCCCTGGTGAACAAGTGGGGGCACAAGTGAATTTTTTCCACTCTACCCTACCACAACGTCTCTGTTTGGGATGAGAGGCGTTAGCTCAGACCATATTGCTTCCACGGCTTCAAGGTACATAAAGAAACAACAAAAATTATCTCCTATTTAGATAGGTTTCTCTATTCTATCTTAATAATTTTAATTACCTCCTGAGCTCCAAATCCACTCAACGTAAGTGGATCACCCTCCAGTAACTCTTTCCTATATAGTTTCAAAATATCAACGTGCTTTGAGTCAAAGATCCCAATGATTTCTAGTATTGCTATGTCATTTTTCCTTAGTTCGGCACTATAATCGTCATGAATTAGAACTGATTTAACGTCATATTCGTGTCCACCAACTGCCAAATTCGTAGTTCCTACAACGGCTTTTATGTATTCCGGTTCCGCACTGTAAATAAATTCGAAAACCTTATAGCAATTGCTTACAAACCTTCCAGGCGTCTTTTAGTTAGACTTACTCGTATATACTCCCGGACACATAATTCGAGCCACCTCGCATTTTTGTCGTAAAGAGCTAGAATACAAAAATAGTGTTATTATCGAAGAAAAGGTTTTCCCCGGTTTTGCAAATCCAAATTCCCAACAAGGACTTATAGAAAAGACGTTTAGTATACTAGTTTAAAAATTGCATAATAGTTTTTGATCAATGAAACATTGTTTAAGCTTAGGGCACTTAATGCTGAAAACGCGTGGTGGCTCGAATTATGTATCCAGGAATGTACATTATATTACATTGTGACACAAGGGCGATAAATAGACAATTACAGAGGAACTTTCCTGGCTCAAATGTTAGTAATTGCTGTTGTAAAATTTGGGTTTATGTAGATACGCGCTTTTTACAAAAGCTACTTACGCGGGATTGCACCATCCACGAAATTCGTAACATTGCAAAATTTCGAGTCAAGAAAAAATAGCTGGGTACTTAAATCACACGCACAATAACATATATATTATTACTATTAATGGTATTTGTAAACAGTAGAGTTCCATCTACTTCCAATCCAATTACCATCAGGCGCACGACTTGTTCGTCCCGTCATTTGATATTATACTTAACATATCAAAATCTATGAATGAAAAAAATTGGCGCGAATTTGTAGTTACAGGTCAAACTAATAACTTTTTATTATTTATGTTACGATTTGATTTCTCTAGTATTCGTTACCGGTCGCTCTATAGCCAATATTCAATAAATACTTAAATAATATAATAATCGAGCCTGAGCCCGTATTTGTTCGTTTGAATGGTAATGAAGTTGTTATGATGACTATAACGTAAGTATACTCAATAATTAACACTGCATATACCTAAATTATGAATGAAAACGAACCAATGAATGAACGCTCATTTTGGCATTTTCATAACGTGTGGTCACCTCGCATTATTGATTTTCATTCATATAAAAAAAAACGAATACCTTTTTAATTAAACAATAAAAAGTAAATCTGAAACGACATGTATTTAGTAGTAAATTTACAACTAAAATTTTACCAATTACAGTCTCTGTAATACTTACAAATCCAAAGATATTGACGTTTGTTACTTTTCAGAAATGTAAGGATTGAATGAGCACTTAAAAACAATTAGGTATTATTCAAAAACGTTTCACATTACTGACATGTTTTATATTTTACAAATTCATATGTAACTTTTACTTTGCCCAGCAGTGGGACATAATGGGTTAAATCTAGACATAAACGAAATTTAATTATCTTATTTGGTTCCTTTTAAAAGCGTGCGGATTGAGTGAGCATAAGAAAGTATTTGTAAAAATTTGAAACAGGCATTAATCGATCTATAATTAAAAACGATATATTGAGTTCTTAGGTTTTCGCGATTATTACACGTAGGAAATGAAACTATTTTTCCGGATTTAAATCGCATATATTTGTTTTTTCAAACAAACCGGGACCTGTAAAGGGCCCGAAACATCGGTTTGTTTGAAAAAAACAAATATACGCGATTTAAATCCGGAAAAATAGTTTCATTTCCTATTAAAAACGATAGTTTAACAAAACTTTTACAAAAAACTAGTACAATAATGTTATATGCAAGCGTAATACTTTTGTAGATCTGACTGGCCCTCTTTGAGAACTGACTGAGCACACATTAAGTTATTTTTCTCTTGTTTTATCTTTTTACAAATAGAAATATTGGTTTCTACAATTGTTTCAGAACTTTTACTAAATGACTAACATTTTAATAATTTTACATGGGGTGCTCACTCAATCCACACACACCTGTTAGGTCTACAAAGCTACCGTGCTCCGAGCTTGAGTAGGAATAAAGCAAAAACCTATAACCACCATAAGGCTGTATAATAATAAAGTACTGCCTAGTTTTGCTGTACGTTATATTATTACTTACGAGCAAGCGTGATGAACAATTATTATTTACTGTAATCCATTAATTCCTTCTACTCAACTGGATCCAACGATACTATTTTTTTTTAATTATTAATTATTAATTGTATAGCCTAATATTTTGCACCTTGTTTCATTTTAGTTATCTATTCTGTAATTAGGCCTTGCTAAATAAATTATTATTATTATTATTATCATTATTATTACCTATGTAATATGTAGATTGAAGACTGCCCGGATCGAAGGAATTTTTCTTTGTAAACACAAATCTCGCTCGATATATATTGTATCAATAATAATACCAAACTAATGGAATATTTTCACATTAAATATATGAATATCATGGTAGTAAAACATTATGTTATTCCTAACTGATCCCCTAAAACCGATCCCTGTTGGATCCGTTTTATTTTATATTATTTTCTATTCTCATCAGGTTCCCTATGCATCTATCATCATATCATATTAATATTTTAGTTCCATCTGATACCCTGGTACTTACAAGCTTATTTTTGTTGGGTAATGTGGCACAGTCAACGAGAAATTGTGTTTGAGGGTTGTACTGCATTTTATTTAGTTTATTAGAAATGAACAACATTAACCATACTTTAACGGTCAAGATCTTTAACACTTTGTTATTTTCTTAAAAAATACCAAAATACTATTTGAGCCAAAAATAACATGGAGTGCACGTTGTGCACCAATTCAAAAGTTCAAAAAAAAAACTTAAATCTGAAATATTACTTAAGACTGATTTTTTGTCACTTGTGATTTGCAAAATGTTAATATTATTGACCTACCACAAAAAAAAAATTGATTGACTGTGATAATTATAACACTTGCTCAATATGAATATTTGATTTTAAAACTTCTTTTTTCTCTTGACTGTACTTACCTTACAAATACAAAGGAATACATTGGGAGTTGAAAAATATATTTTTTTAAATTTTTTATTTAAAATTGCCGGTCTATCAATTGTAGGGGATCAGATGAGAATAAGTCAAACTTCATGATATTCAATAAAATAAATATTACATACCTACCCATTAACACAATGAGCGGCAGTAATAATATGCCGATCAGAAACAACCGCGCCACCACAAACGTGATAGCCCGTTAAGTTTTGTAGGGAGACATGAAATCTTCCGTAATGAGGAGGTGGCTCATATCCACCAACGATCCTCTGTGACGGCGCTCCTGGAATGTACTAGAACTTAGAATCCTTTCGCCTTTGTTCTCTCTCTCTCTCTGTCTGTCTTAATATATATTTAATTATTGTGATGAAAACTGTACCTTGTACATGAGCAAAGAGCCAAAACAGAATTACAGGCACGCACAGAAACTTATTCATTATATTTTAATTATAAATGACCCGTATTTAAGACGTGCACCTACAAAGGATTTGTTATTTAAACCAAAACTATTGTGTGTGTACCATTTTTCCCAAAGATAGTGGTATCGGATAACATATCAAATTTTCAAAATGTATTGCATTACGTTCGACAATTAATTACTTTAATCAGGTGATGATCTCGTAGTAGCAACTTTTTTATAGATTTCTTACATGATAATATAAAGATAAGATTATCTGCGTACATTATTATCGTAAATCGCAAACCATTACGTTACGAAGTCTAAGTAAACAAATAGATACCACGGAAGTGAGTACGGTAGGGACTTGAAAAATACCTACCGTACTACCAGTGGTTCGCTTATTGGTACCAGGTGGTACGATGATTTTAGACTCTGAGAAAATCATAAACGTAGGTACCTACGGTAAACAGCACTGAGTGGCGAAGAATTCAATTTAATTCTTAAGTGTGAAATGGTAAAAGGTAGAATATTAAAACAAACCAAGGTGTTTACTCAACAAACATAGTTACTTCATCAATTTTTCTGGTTACTCACTCATTGATTTGATAACATTAGAACTGACAAACACGTATGGCCTATAAATCTTTATTTTAAACAACGGATTGGCTGATAATGAAGTGATGAACTCTGTTTTTTATACCAAAAAGCTGAATAATATTATACATTAAAAGCTGTAAGATATTTCGAAAAATAAGCGAAACGGGTTGAAGTAAGTTAAAAAAATTATTTCTTTTATCACTTGGACGTAGTTACACAAAAAGAGCCCAATGCACATCCAGTCAGTTTCGAGATATATGGCAATTTGAAGCTTAAAACGGTTTCTCACTCTTGTTTTATTTTCAAAACTTATAATGTCTTGTAACTCCAGAGATATTTATTTGTGTTTATATAATGTTGGTTTTTTGCTGATGAGCTGACTTTAGGAACCGTTTGGTAGGCATGTAAACCATTTTTTGATAATTTTGTGGATTGGATCCTTTTTGCTTAACTACGTTCACTTGTAGGTACTCATACTTTGTTATCACAAGTATTAGTAAGTACCTTTAAGTATATTTTTGATTGTTTATGATGCCGATCACGATGGAATACGCTTAATTCAATTTTTAGACCGTAGCCAACGATATGATCTATGTATTACCGTTACCACCTTAGCGTAGTAACGTAGACGTCATAATATCGGATTTTCATAATTATTATCTAGCCCAGAGTGATGGGGTAGTTAATAATTATTTATATTGGCCCGCCAACGTCCCTTCTATAGTAGGAGTGTATGGACTTCGGAAATATAATTTAACAGCCTTATCGATATCGACGAAAATAATATAATATATACCTATGTTAACATAAACAGAAAATAACAACACTACACAATAATATTTTCTAAAGTTCCAAAGTAAATGCATTGTTTTTTAATTCTCCCTCCTATGAAATTTTCTGTTTTTTGGCCCCTAATGAAAATAATTTGCCCACCTCTGCAGCTTGATTTTGATCGATCGGAAACTGCGTCTTTTCCGAGTCGAGGCTTATAATATTGCGGATGGGCTACCCGATCGAATCGATTCCGTTTTGAATTAAAATCTAACTAAGACGCGGACAATCAAACAAAACATATTTAGGACCTATTTACCCTAATTTTTTTCCATCCTCTAAGTATTTACCACACATTTTTAGACTCCACCATCTAGGTAGATGGTGTTATATAGTTAACAACGCCGCCAGATGTAATGCATCCACAATATAGTGGTAGTGTAAAGTTAAGTATATCGTTATTTTTTTCTATATAATGTACTTTTGACGTTTCACCTGCGTATGCGTACCAAGAAACGCTAATGACAATTATTTGGGATCAGTGTTGCCAATTTGTGGAGAATTCCCTAAATTACGGGTAATTTCAACTCGATTAAGGGTTTTGTTGGCATTGGTGCTATGTGGGCAAAATGTTCCTCGCATTTTCTAACATTCGTGTGTATTCTATCGATTGGTGATGTATCGCTAGTTTGATGGTTAATGATAAAAACACTATGATCAACGATATCGATTTTTTTTCAGCATCACACATCGCCAGCATTATTAGAAGGCCACTTAAATAAAAAAATATTCGGTAAGATTAGAGCATTTTGTTCTGAATTGTAAAATTACCAGTCGATGAGTGTTAAGTGTGCGACCCTTTCTCTTGCTCAGTCTAGTCCCCGGTATAAAAAAGGCAGTTATTGCTAAACAAAGCTGAGCACTTGGATTTCCACGCCACAACTTGCCACTCGTCAACCTAAATATCAAATTTAGGCTTAAACTTAATTATTATTTCTACCTTATCATAGTGTCACCAAATATGCAACAAATAATTATGTTACATATTAATTATTAAATAATTTGTCAAATATTAATTTATTTTAAAACTCATTAAAATTAATAAACAATTTAAGGTTATCTAATTTTATGACTTGCTTTTAATTCTTTGTTATATATTTAAGCGATGAATTTATAATAAAATAACAAGAACTCGAGTAGTGGTATTTGTGGGGAATATTCCCCAATATGGGGATTTTAACCTGGATTTTTGGGGATTTTGAACAATTTGGCATTGGCAACGCTGTTTGAGATAGGTTAGTGTAATATTTCCTTGGTAAATTTAATTACAACGAAAACAATAAACAAACATGGACATTTTAAAAGCAGAAATAGCAAAGAAAAGAAAACTTCTCGAAGAGAAAAACATAATTGTGAGTATTTTAAAAACCCGTCTGTAAAGAAAAATAAATTGATGCGATATTCAATGTTTACTTACCATCTTCAGGACCCAAACAAACCTAGGAAGTATTTCAAAAGAGGCGAACTCTTAGCTAAAGAGCAAGAGGAATACTTTAAGAAATATGGGTCGCATAATAATCAAGATGAAACAGAGAATACGGAAGCCAGTTCTGACAAAGGTTTGTTTTCCAAATACTTCACAAGTAATATCATTTTGCCATACATTTCCCATATACCTTTTAACACTTATAATTGAATGGGGTAGGATGTTTGGGCACCAATACGTCATGACAGTTTTCTTAAGCTCTAAGACCGCAAATTCGTGGCGGTGCATGGTGCGTTCAGTGGGGCATTCAATGTTTGCTCGTATATTGTGCGCAAACGTGTGTTTTGTGTTGGATAAATCCAAACAAGACACAAAGTACGTGCAAACCTTGAACCAAATGGCCTAAGAAAACAGAGGCACAGGAAGACCAAGATGAAGTTATTTAGGTCAGATAAGGGAAAAGTTAATGTAGTGTCATGTCAGGAACTCAAAATTTAGAGCGCTTAACAGTGATGATTGGCAATTACTCCACTAATAAGAGCCTAGCTTTTAAATAAAAAGAAGAAGAATGTCCTGTTGTAATGACATTAAATTAACTTAAAGTAAAACCTTGTGTATTCTTGTAAAGAATCCTAACCTATTATTTAGATGAAAAAGAGCTAGAATTACCTTTCACACTACTACATTGAACCAATTTATAGAAACGATTAGTACCTAGCAGTAGAGCTTCTTGTCAAAGAGTTTGTCCAGGGATGTACTTGCCACCTTACCTATTTCTACTGCCAAGCAGAAATATAAGCATTACTGCCTTCTGGTTTTGAAGGTGCTGGTGAAATTGCAGGCACATGGGACTTGTCAACTTAAGTCTCAGTGTGACGAGCACAGTGGCGGTACCCTTAACGTGACTTAACACCAAGATCATATATGATTTGTTCGTCCTATCGCTTGATATCATATTAAAAAAAAAGAAAAATACACCTTGGTAAAAAAATGGTATAAACCTTTCTTGCCCATTGTATAAGCATTCCACTTAATCACTTTTATTTAATACTTCTAGCCAACAAACTAGAGTCATCAGAAACAGAGTCAGAAAGCGCTGCACTGCCTAGAACGGAAGTAATAAAGAGATTGAGGGAAAGAGGACATCCTATATTGCTGTATGGTGAGAGTGAGGTACAGGCCTTTAAGAGGTTGAGAAGAATTGAAATACAAGAGCCGGAAGCAAATAGGGTAAGATATCACAACAAATTAAATGTAGGTGTTAATCTGTATGGACAATTGAACTAACTTTCAATACAAAAACAGACTGTGAAGTTTTGAGGGCACTTTAGAGCGATGGTTGATTATTTACCTAAAGCTACATTTTGTATCACTCTTTAAGTTGCATTTATATTCTGACTTTCCAACTTGTTATTTTTGTATCTTTCAAAGTTAGTTACACTGGTAACACTGAGCACGAAAGACAATATCGATGGCAATGTTAACTAGCTGAACTAAGATTTAAGACATTCTTAAATTGGCAAGGATTGTGTTCAGAGGTGGGCAGTGGGTTAATACCCCATCATCCCGCTCGGGTTTTGACCCACTTCTGCCTAAATTCGTGGGCAGTAATGGCAAATACGGAATTTCGTGTAATTCCATACTGATTACAAATTTTGATTCAAAAAAATCTTTTTAGACGAAAAAGATGCCATTCCACACAATACTCACTTTGCAATCCTGTGGATTCTCACTATTAATCAAAAAATAAATGCATCGTTATGCACATGATTAGATTTTTATGAAGGTCGATTCAAATGCATACAATGTAACATATTTTTGTATCGATTTATTTCAGTGCGATTTTCAAGATAATTTATTCAATAGAAAGGCAAATCGAATTCTGTAGAACAGAAAGCAATAAACATTTTGTAATAATATCATTCCATTCGAACAAATCTTAACTTACAACAAATAATTGTAAATAGATTTTGCCCTCAATTTCGGATGCTGATGGGTTTTAACCCGACTTAAACAACAAACAACAAAGGTAACAAAGTATTGGTGGTCTAATGAAGATCATTTTAATGTTTCAGGGTTTTAGAAACGACTTCCAAGAAGCTATGGACAAAGTAGATCAAGCTTATCTTAATGAAATATTAGCTTTAGGCACACAGGTAATTATTGTCTACTTACTATGTAATGCGTAATGTTGTAACTAACAAATCTGAATCCCATTTTGAGGACACTGTGATCTGACAAAAGTCAGGTATACAGTGTCTTTTTTAACTGGGAATATATGGGGAAATCCGAAACTATGGGAAGAAGGCGGAATTAACTTATTAAGCTTTTTTTGTGAAAACAATTAAGCATAGTAAATTTAAAAAAAAAATTACTGTGCCATAACTATTTACATAAATAAAAGACTTCATGGTTTCTAAGACAGGTTCCCTATATCTCCTATAGTTTCAGATTTCCCCCCACTATCTCAGTTACAAAAAACACACTGTATAGATGAGGTATATACATAATAATCTCTACTTCCATTGAATTGTGATACCTCTAGCCAGAATTATTGTTATTCAGATTAGAGCATCAGTTTTCAATTAGGGTGTATGGTTTGTCTGTATAATTGTAAGATGTTGAGGAGGAATCGTCTTCTCTTGTCAGAGGTTTAGTTAGGACGGCCTTGGTCGTCTTTTGTCCAAAAGAAACTTTGTCTGATTTTGAATTTTTCCGTCTCTGAGTCCATTCAGTCCTCTGGTCATCCATGCATGTTGAACGCGACATAAGAGTATTCCCTAAACGAGTCTTTTGCTCCTGATTTATTTATTTACTTTAATGGTTCTTAAAAATACCACTGACAGTACATTAACCCTGTTGAGGCATTGGATTTTGTCTTTGAAATCTAAAAATTATTGCAAACATCCCACAGAGTGAAACAGACAATTCATTGAAAGAAGATGCATTGGATGACTCTATAACATATGAATTCATACAAGAAATGGCCAAAACCATGGGTCGTGGAGACAGGAATCATGATATGAATGTTATCATGACTTTGTTACAGGTAAAGTTATTTTTTAAACTATGGTAACAAATTACAGCCTCTTGGTAAGACAGTACTTCCATCATTTGGATTTTGGAATTTGCTATGAAACAAAAACCTCTTGAAGATCTCTATTGTAACTATGAAATTCCATACTTAATCATATAATAATAATAATCATTGACAGGGTTATTTGTAAAATACTATTATTATTATTAGGGTGGCTTGATTCAGGGCCTATGCATACCCTCATCACTGCGACC